TGTCAACTTCCCGGCCAAAGAAAAAAAAAAAACTCAGTATATTCGACAGCCATATTGGCTGTCGAATATAAACCACCCCCGCCGTCCCTCGGCCAAAAAATTGAATTTCCCCATCTAGAAAAAATTTCAAGTTCCCGGCAAAAAAAAAACAAAAAAACTTAGTATATTCGACAGCCTTATTGGCTGTCGAATATAACCCTGCCCCTCCAAAAAAATTGAATTTCCCAGTTGCCACGGAAAAAATTGAAATTTTCCCGGTAATTACATTTTTAACATATTTGACAGAAAGTCTGTTGAATATGTTTGACATATAAATATTACTCCGACAGCAGACCATCTCATTCTCTTCTCATTTTCATTTTTTTGCCTCTTCCCTTCTCCTCCTCCTTCTCTTTTTTCCGCAGATAACATCTTTTTTTAAGTTTCTTCTCTTATTTTCTTTTTTCTTTTTTCTTTTACATTCTTCTCTTTATATTTTCATAAGTTACATTTAATCATCTTTTTCTTTTCACTATTCTCTCTTTTTTTGTTGAATTCTTATTATTTAACATACTAACAGTTTTTTTTTTCCAGATTTTTATACATTGATTATTATGAAGTAATGTGAGGTAAAGTTTATAATTTTGCTTTTTATCTTCTTTTCTTTTTAAAATTCTTATCACTTGATATAAATTTTTTCTGTTATTTTTGATAGAAATAGTAACTCATTTTTTAAATAATTAAAGTTAATACTAATATTAATCTTATTTATGATTATCTATTACTTTTTATATTATTGTTAAAATTGTTTGATAAATATATTGCTAGGTAATTTGATAATTGTGTTTGTTTTATTGATTTTTTATATAAAATTAATAGAAAATAATTTAAGATTTTTCATTCTAGATTTTTCAAAATTTTTTTTATTTTACTGGCAAGTATATTCGATAGCGTATTGCTGTCGAATATATTCCAGAAAAAAAAACATATTCAACAGCCAATAGCTGTCGAATATAATCCAGAAAAAAAAAAACATATTCGACAGCCAGTAGCTGTCGAATATAACTGGACAAAATTATAAATTTGGTTGCCAAATTCTGTCGATAATCAGTATATTCGACAGTAAAATTCTGTCGATTAAACTTGTTTAATCGACAGAGAAAGTTGCTGTCGAAGATAATGATTATCGACTGCAGTATATTCGACAAAAAAGTTGTCGAATATGTTTGTCGATTAAATTATAATCGACAGAAACTCATTCATATTCGATAGGGACTTCTGTCGAATATACTGCTTTTTCCAATAGTGATAATATACATAAATAAAAATTAAATTTAACAATTGGTTTTGTTAAATATTTATTAAAGGGTGATATTTTTGAAATTAAGTCTTTAACTTTTCATTATTATCAAGATTGATATAGATTATTTTTATTATATTATTAGGATGTAAAGGGTACAATTATTAGAGAAAATATGGAATAAACAAAACTAACTAGCCTGAATCATGCGTTCAAAAGAAAAGGCATAGATGATCGATCTCGTCCTAGTTGAAACAATGAGGGATGACAGAACAAGTCTCCTAAAAATTGCCCTAAGGAGTTAACCCTCTCATAGTATAAGTAATTTTGGCACACAAACTTAACAAGATGAAAAATGATTATCTTTTATTATACAATTTAAAATAGATAAATAAATGAAGATCTTGAAAGTGTACCATCGTTTTTACTCTTCTCATTCTTCTTCCTTCTTTCTCTTTCACTTTCCATTAGTTTGTTCCTTTGTTTCCTACTAAATTTCTTTAATCCCTTGAGGTTTGGCTTGCTTTTTCATTTTCCTAGCATTGTCTAGGTTTTTATTTTTTTATTTTTTTTATTTTTTTGGGTTTTTGGTTTGCCTTCTGTCACGCCCCAGAACCGAAATCCGGGGACGTGGCAGACGCCGTACACTCGTGAGACGGGTCCCACAAGTGCACAAGGCTCGAAACTTATCATATCACACTCTGATACCACCAAAATCTGAAGATCAAATCTTTAAAATTTACTCTGATATCATAAAATCTCCAATACACTCTAGTTTACAAGATCATGATTTATTTCTAAGTCTATATCAATTTACAAAATGGCTAGCCTTCTAACTCGTCACTTCCCGTGGTTTCCCCGTCCTCGGTTTCACTTCCTGAAATGGTGGACAAGGAAAAACTATGAGATAAACTCAGTAAGTAAATATGGAGTGCCCTTAATTAAACTTATAGCATGTCAACAAGTGCAATCACGAAAAACGGATACAATATGGGCACGAAATAGACGTCTCCTCTATAGGTCATGGCCAGTTCCCACTGGCAGGCAAACAGGAATACTAGTGTATAATCCCCACTAGTAGGGCCACGATTTGCTGGTGTATAACCCCCACTAGCTGGGTTGAACGAACCGGCTCTATCACTACATGTCAACATGTGCTAGCGTTTATACCTCCCCCACTAGCGGGGTCACGAATAACATGACCACATCGGAGACAAAACAGGCAGAAGTTAACAGGAAAATCACGATTCACAATCACTTTCAGATCATCAGGACAGTCACTCAAATTTCAAGTAGGCATGCTCAATTTCATGAAAAGCATAAAAATATCATTTCAAAT